AGTAAAATCTAGTATTTTATGTGAATCTGTATATTATATGCTAGCTCCGCCTCTAAAAATATAAAAGGGAAAGATCATGGACATATCCACTAACAAAGAAAGAAAACGAGGCTAAAGAAAAGTTTTATGAAGTAATGAGCAAATAAAGAATGGTATAGGTTGGTTTGGCCACCTCTATTGCGTGAACAATTGTTTACCACTAACTAGTATTATTATTATGCCAATAATTTCAGTAATTATCTCTAAAGTCAATCAATTCGGCCTGCATGCATTTCTGATTTGACTAGGATTATTACGCTATGCCATCCAATTTAATAGTCAATTAATCAACTAAATCTTTCTTTACATTAATTATTCCCCTCGTTAGATGTTAGGCTTTTGGTCCTACAAAATAATCAATCAGGTATAAATATTTGTCTTCTGTATATACTGAATAATTTACCCAATAATCTTTAAAACACATAGTAGTAGTAATTATGCTAAATTTGCATTCATTGCTACAAAGAAGTACTCTATTAGTGTACAGTAATACTACACATCCATCGACTTAAAGTTCGAATTATGTCTGAAAATAAAGAACATGCATCTGCCACAGAAAAGGGTGATAAAAGCTTCGATGACATATTTTGCTTTGGTTCTTATTTTTGTTGAATATATTAAAATAGTAAATTATTAGCGAAATAAAAGGTCATGTTTATGTCCTTTGAGTTCGGTTGAGAATTATGATCTTGGGACTAGCTTATAAGTGTAATATTATATTGACCACCTACAAACTTTTACCAGTATAGATATAAATTGAATAGTTCTATTCATCAAAACTTAAATTGCTAGGAGAAAAATAATCCATCTTTTTTTATTCTACAAAGATTTGAACTTTGATCTCGGGTGGCATCTTGCTTGCCATTTTCCTTTTTTCTTAGGCTTAGGGTGGAGGTGGGAGATTCACATACACAAATATTGTACATCCATGTAGTGAGATTTCTTTATATGCTAGAAACACGTTGTTTGTCGTCGTTTAAATATTTTGTGGCAAAGTAATTACTACTAATATATTAAAATCAAGTACAGATTTAGTGCAATGGTTACATATTTGCGTGACTCAATAATTTTTATTTATATTCTATATTTTATCAACAAATTCATTAAATGTATAAAAATATTTAACTCAATATCAAGTTCGTTGATCCGATTATTTAGGTATATTAATTTAAGATCGATGTAGGAATCAAAAATTGAAATTTTACATTCGTCTCTGATTAAAGGGTATCCAGGTGCACTAAACTGTCGTTGTGTGTAGTATCCGAGGAGGGACCGAACCACAAAGATCTATTGTACGCAATTTTATCCTGTATTTTTATTCCACGACTTTAAAATAATGGTTTTTTTAGAAAAGAATAGATACACAATAATGTTAAGAAAAAGGAAGAAAATTGGAATAAGAAAGTGTGTCATGAGAAAGAGACATAGGAAAAAACAAAATAAACAAGAGTTGGATGGGGAGAAAGGTATATAATTGTGCACATCAACTCTATGATCACCAAATGGTATGGTTGTGCGTGAATGAGTAGAGAGAGTTGTCATACTACACATACAAGGGAAGATGATAAGTATAAATCTGATTAAAAATTTGCCGTGCAGTGCTGTAATACTAGCCAGAGGGAGAGAAGGAGAAGACTAAGTACTAAAACAACTAAAAAAGTTCGTGGGACCAAAAACAAAGACAAATTTGCGTGATGCCATTATATGCACTCTCTTTCACATTTTCTGGTGACTTCTCTCTTTCTTTTTGACACCTCCATTACCATTAACTAAAGTTAAAATATCCTTCTTGGTTTTGGGAAAGATTACCAAAACCTACTCAACCTCCTCATCTTTCTTCTTTTGCCAAACAAGCAAAAAAAAAGAAAGATTTACAGTCTTTATTTTAGGTAGAACAAGTCGAAAACGTGACTAGAGAGAGCTATAAACATTAAAAAAAAAAAATCCACTCATAAGTTATGGCTTTTCCTTTTCCTTTGCTTTGTAGCACCGGTTGTTCGTCTTTAGTTAAAAGTGAAAATAAAAACACTTTAAATAAGAGGCGGATTTCGGATTTAAAGGTTGCGGGTGTCATATTACTCTGAACGTAGACGTATTGTTATTTATACGATCCAAATAGAGTAAGTATTTAGTCGGTTTGATCAGTTTTGGACTTCTGCTCGAATTATTTGTCTTTTGATTTGTACAAACAAATCAATTAAGCGAAAAAACTAATTATGATAACTTGTCGCGACTTTTTTTTATCCGTTAAAAATAAATTTTATACTAAATAAAGTTCTCGTCAATTTCTTTTTAATAGTTAAAACTTTTAAATTAACTAAAAGTATGGTTATTAACTCTTTATTTATTTATTTGAGGTATATTAGGACTTTAAATTCCAATAAGCTTACATAAATTATTTTCTTATTTAAGCTATGTAACATAGCTATAATATTTTGCATGTTAATTTTTCTAATATTTATGTTATAATTCTAAGAAAATATAATGAATTGACAATTCATGAACTACCAGATACAATGATACTCCTACTAATAATCATGAAGGTGTCCTTGATTAACCCAAATAAAATTTTTAAAAAAGAAGAAATTATAATTTTAAGAAACTTTCATAGTGGTAGTCAAATTACAAAAAACGGACTGAGAATTTTAGGTTTGAGCAAATTTCATGTGCTCTAGGAAAGGAAACTTATTAATTGATTTTAAATGCTCGACATCAACAGAGAAAGTCCTAGACATCAAACCTATTGTGGCTATGCTGTGTATCTGATGTAGCAAGCAAAAACAGATAAAAAAACGAAGCCAGCAGAGGTTCGATCCCGCGCCCTGAAGCCAGAATCATTGTGCCTCTGCCATTGGCACCTTCTACCATTTGTTATTCCGGGTGGCAACTCTTTTATTTATCATCTTTATTGCATATATATATATATACCGAAGCTTGCGGGTGGCGTACCACCCTTCGGCCCTTGATAGATCCGCCCCTGCTTTAAACGGTATGCAATATCAATCGTCCTATATGGTTTCGATTGTAATTTGCCAGTCAATTCAACAAACATATACACATATTATAAATACAAAGTAAATTCTGCAAAAAATTCAAAAGAATAATCAAGAAGTGTAAACTCTTGATCTAATTTCAGATTACTATGGTGCTTTCTTGGTCAAATGAGTGATAGCTTTATGTGAACGTTTAAATGTGTTGTCCTCCAAGTTTTTCTTCAAATATAATTTAATCGATGCAAGTGAGTTTTGCATTACGAGGACGTCAATATTATTGTTTATCTCATTTCTTTTTCTCCCACCTCAATATGTTCGTTTGATGGGGGTCTGACAATTCGCGAGAGTCGTGTAAGTCCTTACACAATACTTTCATTTATATACTCTTTAAATTGTTGTTTTCATCAATGGTGCTTGGCTTAATTGATGGAAAGGACAATATGAAGAGAAGAATGGGCTGGCATATGATTCAAGAATGAAAGCGCACTATATGGACTAATATATTATGACTTTTTATGGTTGAAAGAAAAAGATGTTAATTTGTCTAGATGGGAGAGATTTAATTAGGATGTATGGTGGAGACCTTACGTTTTGCTCAACCATAAAAATGAAAAGATTTTCCAAATGTCACAAACTTGTTTGTTCAATATCAACGTAAATAATGCAATTCAATAGGTAGGTAATTATGGGGTGTTCAGCTAATCAGCTTTGCCACATGACTATATTAAGAGGAAAATTGGCTAGTTAATTATAGTCAAGATTCCAATGCTAAATAAAAGGGAGAAAAGTAAAATTCATAGCCCTATCTTCTCTGATTCCTTGCAATTGACTACTTTATTTTACATTAAAAAGTGTTCAGGTTCTTGAAGTTTCCAATTTCCACCTGCTCGTAGGCTAAATAATAGGAAAAATTGAAGGGATAGTTGAGTGAATTTGACAGATTCATTTGAAGAAATTTTTGGTATAACATTAACTTTGAGAGAAGAAGAAGCGAACTCGGCCAACAAACATAGCAATTAGGTCGGAAGTATGCTGATATCTTCTTTATTTTGTAAGAAAAGGAATGTGATGAATACTAGCAGTTAAGCTGTTTGAATCTTGAAAACCAAGTAAAATTCAATATCATATTTTATCAAAAGCTTTTTTCTTTTTTCTTTTTTCTTTCCTTTATTATTCGAAATTCAAAAGGAAAATAAATAATTTTGATGTGTGTACATCTCATCCATCCGATTCCACTTAACAGAGATGCCAAAAGAAAAAAAGAAATAAAAACTTTANTAATTTTGATGTGTGTACATCTCATCCATCCGGTTCCACTTAACAGAGATGCCAAAAGAAAAAAAGAAAAAAAAACTTACAACTTTGGACAACCTCAACAGAGCAATATCTAATTTTCAGAATCATAATTTTTCTAAGGACCCACTAGGCAAATCAATAAAAAAAAAATATAAGAAAAAAAAGGAAGAAAACTATTGCACAATGAGAATGACCTAGGCTTAACAACTAGATAGGCATCTTGCATTAGGCAATGGATCCTCTGTGACCACCTCAGAAATTAATTATTAGAACAAGAAACCAATCTCCTTTATCTATGCATACAGGGACAGGTTTGTCTCTCGCTTTAAATAGTGCTCCATTTACCAAGATTATTGACTATGTAATATAATTAGTTAATTATAAATCCCCCATTTACTTAAAAAAAGAGAAACATTAAAAAAATTAGACCAGATTTTCTTTTAAAAATTATTCACATTAATAGTAAATTGTCTTAAAAAAGAAGAGGAGGGAGTCATATGAGGGATAGGTGGGCAGCATGGGCCATATACAAACAATTCCAGCGGCAGCGGTAACGGCAGAGACCTTCTGCACGCCCAACAACAATATCAACCCCAACTCCAAGACTATCCCCACATCTCCCTTATTGATTCTCCTTCTCTTTCTCTTTACTTAATATATATACACAANGGAGCAAGCAAAAGAAGGCAAGTTTTGAGGAGGAAAAAAACAGAAGAAAGGAAATAAAGATAAAGTTTTTAGGTTGGAAAAAGGTGAGGAAGCAGGCAGAAATGGTCATGTTGGTGTTTTTGGAAATGGCTTCTCAGACGTAAAAAGATTCATTCACTCTTTTAACCTCACTCACTCTCTCTCTAGGGAATCAAAAAGCTACTTTCTTTTCCCCCCTTCATTTACTTGTCCTCATTCTTTACATTTCTTTGGTATTTTCTTGAAGGGTGTCACTGAAGAATCCGCCTTTGTTTAGGGCATCTTCTTCTCTATTCATGCTGTTTATGTGTTAGCCTTATAATCACACAACCCTCACCAATCACACATCTATTTCTTCATAACCATCTTCCAACTTAGAATCCCATTTCTCTCTATATAATCTATCTACCTCGCTGTTCTGAATTCTGATCATATCCCATTTCTAGAAATGGCTGTTCAAGCTCAATACCCATCAAATGTTCTCTTTCTAAACAGGTCTGCATTCAACACCCTTCCACTTTCTCCCTAAATTTTATCCTTTTTTCTTATCTAAAAAGTTTAACGGAATTTTCCTTGAATCTTATTGGTTGCAGAAATGTACAAGAAGGAAAAGGCCAACTAGGTAATGATTATTCATTGCAACATCAACCTGGCGGTGGTAGTGGAGGAGGATCTTTTCTTGATCAAACACAAATGCTATTCAATCCTGGAGGTAGGAAAGACTTCATAGTTCATACTTACATAACAACTGTGTTTCAATCCCAAACCAGTCAAAAGCTCGAAACTTTACTTTTTTCGTTTTCTTTATAATCAATTCTGTATTGAGCATACAAATTTCAATCTAAATATCTATTTATGATTTGATTTTTGGGATGATAGGTGGTGGAAATGCAAGAAAGAGAGGAAGAGAACTTACAAGTACAACGGCAGCAATGAATCCATTGATGTCGATGCAGTCTCAGCCTCAACCTCAACTCATTGACCTCGCTCAGCTTCACACATCGCCTCCTTCGCAGCAGACACCAAATGTTGTCTCCACCGGACTCCGTTTAGCTTTCGGAGACCAACAGCAGCAGCAACAGCAACAACATCAATTACAGCACCAGCATCATCACCATCACTCTCTTTCTCCTCAATCCTCTCAATCATCAGCTTTTTATTCAATATTAACAGAAGATTTAGCTACTCATATCAAACAGCAACGCGATGAAATTGATCATTTCCTCCAAATTCAGGTACTATTTGTTTTTCTTCAAATTTTACTTTACGCCTCAATCCTAAATTAGTTATCCTAAACTAGTTATCGGGCAGACTCTATGAATTCTCACTATGCATTTCGTTCCATACCGAAATGTTCTCTCTAATTCATTAGAAGGGCAGTCCAATACACTAAGCTCCCGTGCATGCTTCCGTTATGCGTGGAGTCTAATGTGGAAATGAAAGAGGCTGTTTTTCCGCTTTGAACCCGTTACATCCTGATCACATTGCGCCAAGGCTCCCATTCAAAATTCATCATAAATTGATTAATTTTGAACTGATCATTAATATACCATAACTCTTCTCGTTTCTCTTTTATCGGAGTTTGAAATAAGCAATATGAGCAAGCTCATAGACAATATAGTTTCTTCTTTTTCTTTTCAAATTTTACCATGCCTTTTGAATTTGTTTTCCGTATTCTCAATTGCAGAGGATGAATTTATTTATTTAGTTTTTGATATTCAATAGGGAGAACAATTGAGGCGTACGTTAGCAGAGAAAAGGCAACGTCACTACCGTGCGCTGATGGGAGCAGCTGAGGAGTCAATGGCGCGAAGGCTAAGAGAAAAAGAAGCGGAGATGGAGAAAGCAACGCGGCGAAACGCGGAACTAGAGGCGCGTGCAGCGCAATTGAGCGCGGAGGCGCAGGCGTGGCAAGCAAGGGCGAGGGCACAGGAAGTGACAGCGGCGACGCTGCAAGCGCAGCTACAGCACGCCATGATGAACGGCGGCAGGTGTAACGAGAGAGACGACGGGAATGGCGGAGGCGAACCGGAGGATGCTGAATCGGCCTACATTGACCCGGACCGAGTCGTTGAGTCGACCGGTCCGAGTTGCAAAGCGTGTGGGAAACGAGTCGCCTCAGTGGTTCTATTGCCGTGTCGCCATTTGTGTGTTTGTACAGAATGTGATGCTGTTGCTCAAGCTTGCCCGTTGTGTTTCTCCATTAGAAGCTCAAGCGTTGAGGTCTATCTTTGCTAGAAGCCCAATTACCGGCCTACTTTGTTTTCGGCCCAAGCCCAAGTCCTGAACTAGGACCTTTTCAATTAATGTTCTAATGGTTAAAAAGAGTTATTATAATTAAAAAAGGTAAACAAAAATGAAACAAAAATAATATTTCATTTAATAAGTATATAATTTCTTACTTCGACATTTTTTCGTTTCTTTACTTTTTTTCTTGGGGTTTGGTTTTGCAGCAAATCAAGGACTCAAAAATTTTCATTGCCTTTTATTTTGGAGAGGTTAAACACAGTTTGACTGTTGGAGATGAGGCATTGCCTTTTCTGTTATCTTTTTTCTTTTTCTCTTTTAGAAAATTAATTCATTTGTAAATTCGTTTATTTACCCGTCCTTTTGACATCATAAATCTTAACATTTTCGTCAATTTTTCTTTTCTTAGAATGGCATCATGAAAAATTGTCAATTATTCGTGATTCATATTTTACTACTTGCAGTTCTTTCTAAAATAAAAGATAAATGTATCAAATCTTAATGTGCAATAAAATAAGAATAATAATAAGGGTATAATTAGAAGAGAGGGGAGTGTTCTTTTAATCTTAGCTTATAGTTTGTTTGGCCAAACTTCTGCAATCCTAAAAACACTTTTTTTCTATAAGTTGAAGTGTTTGACCAAACTTTTAGAAGGAAAAAAAAAAGTACTTTAGAGGAAAAGCAAGAAGCTTGGCCAAACACTAATGGTTGCTTAGAAGTTTTTTTCAAATTAATTAGTCAAACACAAATTGATTCTCACCAAAAGTACTTTTGAGAAAAGTAATTTTAAGAAAAAAGCACATCTCAAAATCAGTGTTTTAAAAGGCGTGCGAACACTGGGTCGAGGCGCTCTAAAAACGCCCCGAGGTAATGTTGTGGGATGAAAGTTTCAAGAGGGGTACTCCCGAGCGTTTAAGGCGCATTGTAGTGAGGCGTAAGCCCCAGAGACTTTTTCAAATTAAAAACAAAAATTGTTGAATAAGTTTTTCATATATTACCCAAATTTTCAAAAGTCAGCTTGTAATTACTCAAAAGTTTTAATAAGGAACTGAAATATATTAAATTTAGAAGTCAATTTTTTTAATTGATTAACACTCTAATTTATGGCCTTTCCTATTTCTTTATCTTGTTCGCTAGTCTGCTAATATCATCCAAAGCAACGAATATTCAATTTCTTTTACAAATACAAGAGAACTCCATTCTCCTTCATAACAGCAAGATCAAAGTTCAGATTACAGGTTAGTTATTCTTTTTTGTCCTCCATGTAGAAAACTTTATTATTTTTGACTCAAATTATTTGTACTTGTAAGAAGCATATAATAAATTATTTTGACTAGTTTTTTGTGGGGATGAGGCGTGCGCGCGCGCGCGCACACACACACACACACACACATATATATATATAATTTTTATCCAATTTTACCTGTCTATAAATATTTACTGTAATTATATTATTTTATAAAATATTAAATACCCATTAGGCTTACGCTCTGTGCCTCAAAGCTTACGCCTCGTTGAGGCATATGTAAAACGCCTCGCCTTACGTCCACACCTTTTAAAATATTACAATAAACTGATTTTTATAGCTTGGCCAACCAGGCTATTAATCTAGCTTTTAACCATAGAAGATTAATTTATATTATTACCTCTCTAATTCTAGTGTTCCAAGAATAGTCAAAAAGTTTTAAGAGGAAATGTTCCACGGGGCCATCTATAGTGTTTGAATAATGAGAAACACTACATGGCCTAATTAAAAGTTCGGTTTGAATTTATTTTTCTAACCTAATTAAGAGATTTAATCAGGACCCTGTTGCTAAAATGAGAATTGTTACACCAGAAATTAGCACGGCGTGACCCCTTAAGGCGATGATCTTGGTAGAATGTCCCCATTTTGGATGGTCTTAGCAAAATGTTTCCCCTTTTTACTTAAATATCATAGGTTTTTACTTTTAAAGCCTGAAACTCTTGTTTGACGGTGGAAAGAAAAATTTAATGGTGGATTTTTTGTTGAAATTATTTTTCTCCTTTTTATTTAGGAGGATTTATAGTGTTTTCATACTTTCCCTCCAGCGTGACTCGAATCCAGGAACTAACGATGGTGGGTGGAGGTGCTTTACCACCTGCGCAAGCCTCACTTGTCTATTAAAGCCATTTGAATGTTGATAATTTGTGTTTAAACTTTTAGTTTAGACACAAATTTTGATAATTTACTGTAAAAATCTCAAAACTCTATTATTGAACCTCAAAATGTATTGAAGAAGACAAAGTTGATCTTTTTGATTTAGTGTTATTCGACTAAGTTAGTGATTAGGGATTTGTGTTGGTATTTAGAAGCTTTGTTTCAAGTTTGAGATCATTTGGAGTTGTTTGATCAAAATTGAAGTTGCAAATTCGAATAACACTTTGTTAAAATTACCGAAAAAAATATGTCAATCCGATAGACTTTGGTGAACAACTTAACATATAGGTGGATAAAATATACATATAGGTGGATAAAATATGGTATCAACTCTATCGACCTAGTTAGAAAAATCCTTGAGGAACGAAAGTATAACAATTTTGTAGACTTTTACGAACAACTAAACACATAAGTTAATAATAATAGCATTAAATACCGCAAAATCTAACGATATCGACCACCCAAAAAGTCCCTTTTGTGTCAATCTGTACCTGGATTGAAAGTTTGGTTGGAACTAATTTTGTTAGCCTAGTTGTATTTAAACATTAATATCCTTCTTGAACTTTAATATATAGATTCTCCTCTATTTTTGCCAAACATTTTGGCGCATAATTAATTAGCAACTTACGTGGTACAATTGTTTATCAGTATCCTATTCTTTTGCAACATTAATGTTTCATCCCAACTTTCATTACTATAATAAAAGTAATCAAATCTCCCTTCTAATAAACTTTTGTCACGTTACAATTAGATTTATTTACTGCTCTAATGTTTAGAACCTCATTTTATCAAGAAGTATGAATTTCCTCCTCTCTCATGAATTTCACAAGAGTACATTCATATACACTTTTTTAGTCTGATTGAGCAATTTTCTGTACTAAGGCTAGGATATTTTGGCATACGCTCCTTGTTGGTACAAAATAATTGCACGGACCAACTTGGGTTGTTTTTTTAATTAGATGTAGCAGTATTTAAAGCATTTTCACTTGATGTCAAGTCTCTCGCACAGAAGGAAATTTTAATATTACACTTGGTTGGCTTTAGTGGTGGCAAAATAGTAAAAAAAACAAACAGACAGTATTTCACTCATATTATTCTTAAAAATGGGTTGGACAATAAACTTTTTAAAAACGGGTCAAATTGGATATAACCATACTATCCACTTTGAAAAATCGGCAAAGGGCCCAATATACCCCTTTACTTTCAAATTTTATTTACCTGTACCCTTCTTATACTATTAGGCTATCCATACCCCTACCGTCATACTTTGGAACAAAAATACCCCTATTTTAGATGGAGTGCCACGTGGCAGCACCAGATTAAAATAACCCATTTCTTTTTTTTTACCCAACTCATTTTAAATAACCCACAACCCGAACCATATTTTTCAGTTTTTTTAAAGAATTTTCTTTTTGTAAAACTTAAAAAAAATTGCGAAATATATTCGTTTAAAATAAACTGAGTAGATACTGAAAAGATTTTGCAAAAGAAATTGTAAAAACCGAAAAAAAAATTATTTTTTTTAAAAAATAATTTTTTTGTAAAAACAGATTTGTAAAAACTGAAAATATTTGTAAAAACTGGAATTTTTTTTCCAGTTTTTAACAAAATATTTTCGTTTTTTAAAAACTGAAAAAATATTTCCAATAAAATATTTTCAATAAAATATTTTCATTTTTGAAAAATGTTTTTTTTCCAGTTTTCTAAAAGACTTTCTTTTTGTAAAAACTGATTTTTTTTGTATAAACTGAATTTTTTTGGTAAAAACAGAAAAAAAAATTTCGTTTTTTAAAAACTGAAAAAATTATTTTCAAAAAAATATTTTCGTTTTTGATTTTTTTTTTTTCATTTTTTCAGTTTTTTAAAAGAATTTTGTTTTGTAAAAACTGGAAATACAAATTTGTAAAAATAGAAAAAAAACATTTTTTGTTTTTTAATAAAATATTTTCGTTTTTTAAAAACTGAATTTTTTGAAAAAAACTAGAAAAAATTAAAATAGGGGTCGGGTTGTGGGTTTTTTTAAAAATGGGTCAGGTAAAAAAAAAGGGTCGCTTTAATCGGGTGTTGCCACGTGTTACTCCATCCAAAATAGGGGTATTTTTGTTTCAAAGTATGACAGTAGAGGTATAAATAACCAATAGTATGACGGTAGGGGTATAGATAGCCCAATAGTATAACAAGGGGTACAGTTAAACAATATTTCAAAGTAGAGGGGTATATTTAGCCCTTTGTCGTTGAAAAATAGATAACCAATGGATAACTAATGGGTTCGTCAGGAATTTTTCCCAAAAGTAATCATATTTAAGAAGCCATGAATAATATGGATATCCATATTATCCGTCGATTAACCCATTTTTTATCTGTATTAAATATGAGTCGGATTAGATAATTTTTTTTTTGTATTATCTGTTTTTGACCGAACCATATCCGACCCAACCCGACCCATCTGTTTGCCACCTCATTTGGCTTTATAAATATTTGAACCATTAAGAGGCTGTAAAACTGTTAAGTTTCTTAATTATTAACTTCGGTTTGTAAAGAAAACAAGAGGAAACAGAAAAGGGAGTAGTTCTGTAATCTTTGCTCATTAATCAAACTCTTTCTTCACAAGTATTTTCCAAAAGCATGCTTGGTAATTAGTAATTGGTATAACCTGTGAAGATTCTTCCTCCACTTTGGTATGGCATATTCTCCAGTGAAGCAACATGCTTTTTAATTTGGTATATCAAAGTAAATGGCAGAAGCTCTTAGTTTGACCACTTTAATGTCAATTTTAAATAACATAACCAATTTGTCATTCTCTTACGGGTCGTTTCGTACTATGAATAAGCAAAAGTAATTCTCCGATAAAATTTTAGTACCGTCTTATTCTTTGTTTAGTTACTAATTTTGGGATAACTTTTATTCAAGGATTAAAAATAGTATTGGGATAATTTACAGAAGGTAGAATAGTAATTCCAAGATAAGTTATTCAAGGATAAAACAGTAAAATTGACAATCTCAGAATTAATACAACATATCAGACCAATAAAAAATAATGCTAGAATAATTAATTCTAGCATAACTAATCTCAATATAACTAATTAATACTAGTATATCTTGTGTTCGAACCAAACCATCCCTTAGTGGATAACTTCCCCTTTTCAATGGATTTAAACTCAAGTTTCCTTG